ATTTACTTTTTCCTTTCTCTCTCTCTCTCTCTCGAAAGTCTAGCCGCCTACGCGATAACCAATTATTTTTAAACTCTCCCCTTTTGTAAACAGGCTTGCCTCGTTATTAATTCCTCGTCAATTAGCACGAATCGTTGCTAGCACGAAATTTCGAGAGGTCGTTGCATCCTCTCTACTCTTCGATGATAATGTTGTACCCCCGAAGAGTGACCGTCATATATTATAAAGGCGAGAAAACGTGAAAGATTTATTAAAATCGTGCGATACGTTTCTCGTGGTGAGATATCGCGTTTGCTATCCGAATTTATTATTTACACCAACAAGGACTACCACTTTTTTTAGGACTCTGTGTCGATTACTCAGTCAAAGTGTGGTTCAGTTGTGTGGCACGCGAGATTTTGCAAAACGAGACATTGCATGTATTCGAAAATAATCGATGATATTTCATCCGAACGCCACAGAAAGATGAGAAGATATATATATATATACGCCAAGAATAATTCGTGTGAATATCCAAAAGATTAGGAATAAAGGATTGGACGTTTCATCTTTGTTTTGCCAAAGATCGTCGAACGAGAAATTTTCCTTATTAAATAAAAAATCACCACCCCCGAAGATATCGTTGCTTTTCCACGCAAGAAAACGTTCCTTCGAGGACGATTGAATGAGAATAACGAGACTCGAATATCGACTGCTGTCGATGCATTCCCAACAGACGCGAGAGAATATTTTTTTTCGCCGTTTTCCCACAGGGGAGGGGGAAGGGAGGGGCGACAAACGAGCGACCTCGTCGAGTCGCAGCGACAATCTCGCTTCCCCGAAATAATAGATTCGGAATAGCAGAACTCGCTTTAAATAGGCTTGATTTATTCGGATAGGAAGAACGACAATCGTGCTTCCTCGCGATGTATCTCTCCCTTCGTTTCCTTTCCGTTCGTTGTCCTCGCCGTTTCTTCTTCCGCGATCTTCACGGGTCACGCGAAGCCCATTCCCCGCCCTGATCGAAGTCGAGTTCATTCTTTGGAAATATTCCACCTTCCTGTTTCTTCCTTCTCTTTTCCATAATCGATAAATACGAAATTGGAGAGGATGGGCGACACGTACGATGTCAATGCAACGATCTTCGTTGCGTATATCGAAGATTCCGTAATTCGATCGGTCGGGTGAAAAATTTAAAAGCGGATCGAGATGCAATTTCCGGAATTCTTTACATTTCATACTCGATTACAGGGGCGTATACTGTCTTTCCGTCGTGACAACAACAATCCAGCTCCGCTTGGCCACGGTTCAACTACCTCTCCTCCTCTATATAGCGCGTTACACACCTTAATCGGTTAATTGCCGCCAATTATTCACCCCTCCCCAATCTGTTGCTCGAAGAAGAAGAAGAAGAAAAATTCGAGCGATTTTTCCTCCTCGTTGCTTGCTCGAGAGATTTACTGAGGATAGCAGGGGGACGGCAGAGGGAAAAGTTTTTCGCGGCCTGTACCCCTCGGCAGTAGTGCAGTTCGATATCGTAAGTAGGACGTGAACCTGGGCCGGTATCGCGCGCACGCGTACGCACGCGCACGCATACACGTGCGCGATTATTTCGGCGGCAGCTTGGTGGATAACTATGTATACGTGTATATAGACCATTGGTGAGATTCCTGTTGGTCGACGGCGGCGTGTCACGCCGAAGACATTGCCCCAAATTCGAACGGTGGTCACACTTTTGTCCTCGATTTCGGATTGGATTGAACCTCCC